TGATATTTAAAAAATGTAAATTCACATCTTGAGAATGGAATTAATATCAATCAAATTCCAAGTGAGGCACTTCTGCAACACCAATGTAGTGAGTTGGAAAATGGGCTTATTGTATTCCAAACTTAACTTAAGAAACACATTTTTCAAATTTACAATAATTGTACTTTCTCAAGTCACTTTACCCTTCAAACTATTCTACGTGGTACAGATAGAACTTTGCTTTAGTCATCCACCAAACGTCTGCATAGCAAGACGTTCAGCATGTTTCCTCTGTTGACAGTCATTTCTTAAGCATTATGAAAAAGGGAAGACTGCAAATAAATAGGGTTTTGCGCCTTAAGACCCATTTTGACTTCATCGAGTCGGATCTATAACTGAAGCATCCGAGAAATTCACGATTGAAGGCTTATCGATCATCAGTTTATAATGGAAATATTTTGAGATGCCATTATGAAATATGTTCAATCTGGATGTTCGAATAGAGGACGTCTCGAATATTTGACTATGTGAATAGCAGGGTAACTCAGCAAGTTTGATGCGAACAATCTAAACACATATTCTATTTGAAAGTTAGTTTCATCCTTAACAAATATCGATAACGCAGCGAACGGACAAATGTCTTTCAAACCTTACTTTCAAGACTATCCGAAAACGAGTTTCTAAATGCTCCAATATTATAATCGAGAAATTTTGAACTTAAAATCCTACATCTGCGTCTAAAATTCTTCTTTAACATTTAATTGATTAAGAGGTTAGGACATGCCTTATAGAATTAGAAATTATTTTGTGTTGTTGCGTTTTCACTCATATTATTGCTTTGAAGAGTATATAAACATAATTGTGCCCAATAATGAGCACTACAAGCTTTTTCATACAAAATTGCAATTGGATGAATGAAACTTTATTTCCGAACATATCAGAATAAGTAACTTTCGAGCAACTTAGGAATAGAAAGCGTTCCACGGCCCAAGAATGGAATTACTGCAAAGATACGGGGAGTATATAAGAAGCGACTAAGTT